GGAATCCTGAATAAAATATGACATGAATCTTCAGATTCAGGAGCCCAAAATGTTCTTTCACACTTTCTCAAGGAAAAACAGGATTAAGACTAAAGTAGAGGGTTGCTCTAAGTTCTGACATTCTTAGTTTGACGGAGAAAAGCGGATTCTAGAGTTCTAAGAGATTTTAGAATATATTTCTAGAAGTGTGCCAAAAGCGGTCACAGATTACCTCCATTGGCTATAATTCAACACAATCCATTACAATTTATCAGAGATAACTAGAATGCAATAGAAATCATCATGTATTACAATAATATCAAACCGTTCGAGGAAGCGTAAATCTTGATGGATCCAAAAAATGCGCAGAATCCATGATGATATGCCAAAATTTACCAAGACATAATCATCTCGGTACCCTGGATCTTTTTTTCTCTTTACTTAGTTACAAATTCTGAAGTCACTATTCCCTTTTCTCACTTAATTTATTTGAATCTTAAAGAATTCTCATATCCATTAAGATCAACTTTTCCATCCTCGTTTCTGTACGCTTGAAATAATTTATTCTACAATTCATCAGGCTTCGTCGGGATCCACTATGATCCATTAGGATCCATCAGGATCCACCAGGATCCAATAGGATCCAATAGGATCCACCAGAATCCAGTAGGATCCACAGGATCCGCTTTCCCCCCCTTGGTAATAAGCAATTTTGTTTGAAACAGATTTTGTGACCCTTAAATTGTCCCCAGAAGTTCCACCATAAAGAGATACTTCCATCTCAACATATTGAATGATCACACTATTCGCAATCATTCTCTAATATATGAGGAAGAAACCACTGGCTTCAGGTCGTCATGTTGCAAATTTGTTTTGTAAAGATCAATTATTTAACAATAGAGCTGTAAGATATGATTGTTGTAGTTCACCGACGATACATCCATGGCTCTTTGTCTTGCAAATTCTTTGGTAGCTCGTCGAGATTATGTTCCTTACGATCAACTAGTTCGTTATAAATGGTGGTACAGAGATGGGTATATGTCTTCTACAGGAAAATGTTTCGATATTGGTGCGGCCACCAGACAGTCATTGGGTGAATTTGAACGTCGCCAAACAGAGTTCGCCGAAAAACACGGAATTCCTTTGGATGAATTGGACCTTCTCTCAGATCTTCAACTCCTGGAGAAGTTCGACGTGAATTGCAGTAAAGAAGGTGTGGCTGGTAATGGAGCTTTAATGCGACTGGCACCTGTGCCATTATTCTTTTATAAATATCCTACTCATGCTGTCGAGTATTCAGGATGTAGCGGATTGATTACTCATGGTGATGACAAAGCCCGCGATGCCTGTCGTTATTATGGTGCTTTAATCGTGGCTGCTGTCAACGGGGCAACAAAAGAGGAACTACTTGATGAAAAATTCTACAAAAACAATAAAGAGTGGTTCGGTGATAAACCCCTTCATCCAGACATTGAAAGAATAGCTCAAGGCTCTTATCGAAAAGGTGGATATGATAAAGGCATTCGAGGTAAAGGATACATTGTTAGTGCTCTCGAAGCTGCTTTATGGGCTTTTTGGTCTGATAAGAACTCTTTTCGAGAAGGTGTTTTGGCAGCTGTAAATCTTGGTGATGATACTGACACAACAGCAGCCATCTATGGTCAATTAGCTGGTGCCTACTACGGTTATGAAAAGTTACCCAAAGAATGGACACAAGAAGTATATGCCAAAGGTTTTATCAAATGTTTGAGCAAATGGATCGCTTATGAAGGAACGAAGTGGTCACCACAAGAATCAGAATCTTTAAATGTACCTTCCGTGATTGTTAATGATGCATCTTTTGAGCAAGAGACGAATTTAAATGAGTCAACTATGTCAGAAGAAAACAGAAACTATCCACTACAACCATCAACAACACAATTTGATACACAATTAGGATCAACTTCAACGCTCAAACAGTCTACTGGCCTCTCAACAGATTCTCGACCGCGAAGTCGTACTTGTGTCACGATGTCTGAAGCGGCTTTAAACCCCGATTCAAATACACAATCTGAAGCTAGACGTCGACATTCAATTCAACATAATGATCCTGGATTTTCATCTCAACGTAAGAACTTTAGATTTCTAACAGTGAATATAGGATCAAGGAAAGTTTCACTGAAACAAACAGGAGCTTAATCCAGTATATGGAGAAGTTTTGAAAGCAGGGAGGCAGTGTGCCCCATACCGTTTCATTTCTCCTTGCTTTTCTCTGTTACGTCTCTCAATGAAAGTCCATACTTTGACTTCAAGAAGACCTCTGAAAGGACTTATTTATTATGCAGTCTGCTACAGTTACTGTTTTGTTATAGGACTTTATTTCCTGAAAAAGTTCAATACTTGCGATGATGTCTGTGAGTGGCTTCGATTATTGGGCGATCAATATACAGTTTATGTGAGTTGTTTCAAGAAATACAACATTGATGGATATTGGCTTTTAAATCAAGTTGACGATGAACGTCTTATGAAGTATGGAGTCAAAAACGCAGACCATCGACGAGTTATTCTTGATAGTATTAAACAGTTACAAAAACGATGTCCAGAGCAGTACGCGACAACACAAACATGAGAAACTTTCACTTCCTTTCAATTTTAAACGAACATTGACGAAAAACTATGTAACTGTCTATCAAGCTGAATGCTATAGAAATAGCAGTGTTGGTACGGATTGTCTATAGGTGTGAGTGCGAATGTGAGTTTTTATCTGTATGTCTTGATGCTGATGCTGTCTTCTCTTGCTTCACATAGATTCTAAATGCACACCCGTATTCTATCCAGAAAACGAGTTTCCTTGGACAGCGAATTTTTAAAACTTCGACCATTTCAGTAGAAAAGAAAGCGAAAATTACGACTGTTCTAATTCTCAGCATCATTAAAAGATAGCGTGAAAAGAAAAGTGGATTCAACTTTTGTGGTTCTCATGTAGGACACTCTTTCAGAAGAAAAATCTTGTTTTACTTCACATTTCACTAGTGATAGAAAATTCAGTTTTTTTTTATACTATGAAACATCCAGGGTTTGAAATTGGCGAAGGTGGCCGTGCGAAACACAAAAAGTACGAGAGCTACCGAATTTGGACGAAAGTTAGACAGAAGAAACAAATATTGTCAATCTTTCGTTCACGACACTTCATCTTCATATGCTTATTTGATGTCTCATCTTTTTTTCAATCACTTATCAGAGATAACCCACATTCAATGCTAGAGAAATGTTGAAAATTTGACATTTAGAAGTGTTGAAGTGACCTATTTCAGAGCTATGGTCTGTTTGAGTTTCTCTCTAAAGACAACATCTAGACGGTGAACTCTTGTAGAAATTCATTTTGTGAAGAGAAGAAGACCTGTTTCACTGAAATTCTTAGAATATCATGATAATCATGCAATCGATATGTCAACAAAATTACAAGCTAGAATATTCTTATTCGATTGATGGCAAATACTTATCGAACAATGGAAACTTCAGTGAAATAATTCTGCATAGTTTTAATATAAAGTTCTCGACAAACATACCCTACTGAAGTGTTTCTAGTTGACACGGTCTTATCTATAAGCAAAAAAATATCCCTTGATTAGAGTTAATCATGTTTAGTGGTTCTTGGGCCAACATGAGAGCGTGTTTTGGTGTGGCATGTTAGTATGGGTGCGTGTGTGCCTTTGTTTTCATCTACCACACCCAAGCTCACATTGTTCATTCCGTTAGATGTTTTTGTTTTGGAAAACATTGATTTCAGCATAGGAAAAAGAAGAAAAAAGGTGACGCTATTTTTGTTCAAACCGTGTGGATCTGTCCTCCAATTTTGAGTAGCTCAAAATATCCTGATATACCTCGCTTTCACTTATCCATTTGCTCTATCGTTATATTTTAGTGTATAATATCATCTAATAAATAAGGATCTACAAGTGATGGTCTTGTTTAGTTAAAATATGTTTTCCTTCATTGATAGTTTTAAGACTATTCGTCATCAATAACGTCAAAAATACATGTTGATAAACAGTTTTTTCTTTAGTCTATTTTATTTTGACTGGAAAACAAGCTTTAGCTTTACTCCTTTGTGTTCGTGGAAAAACTGAACTGTAAAACTTATAAATGTTAGAGATCAATTTTTACAAAGATCAGGTGCTGCTTTAACTGCTGCGTTAATTTATACGAGCCATGCACGAAAAGGAAGCGATGGGAATTATAATACTTTGACGAATAAGTTTCAAAATTTAGCAGGCCAATTCTTGAAATATTTTATTTGACATATCAGAAATGTACACCACGCCTGGAGTAAAATTATTTATTGCAACAAAGGGTCATTCGCAAAGATGCATAGAAAAAAAGGGTGTCGGTTGTCTCTGCATTCTTATCCACATACAACCTATAGATAGATTTGGCTCGTGGGTTATCATCTGCCTTACTTGGTCTTAACATTATGAAAATCCTGTTTGTCTACAAACGATAAATCTATTAAATTAAAAACATATTTGATTGTATTTTGTTTGTTGTCTGGTGTGAATAATAGTTCTTCATCGCAAAACCATTATTTCTGGTATACGTCCGAAAAAAAATCAGAAATCAATCAAGAAAAGAAGTATCAGTTTTCATTAATAGGAGACGAAGGTGTGAATGTGACGCTGATTGTTCTATTCACCCACACTCACATTCACACCTTCACATTCATCCTTGCATCAACGGTTCTATTGTGACATACACTTTTCTGTATCAAAAACCGGCTGAATATGGCTACAGGCATCGGTTGAAGCATATGGATGTCATTCTGTACGTGTTGTTTTCTTTCAGAAAAGAGTCCGGTGAGTACATACGAGCGTTACTTGTAGATACATGCATAAGTTTTCAAAGTGCATGTGGTCATTCAATTTTTAGCTAATTTCCATGTTTCAGAAAGACATAACTATTTGCAAAATAGTACAGTGGATGTACTCTAATATTCACATTTATTGACGTTTCGCAAATATATTGTTCCATGGTTACAGCTAGCTGTTTAATATCAAGAAGAAAGCAAATTCAAAATATGGTTTCCGTCTACAAGAAGTCAAAAACCAGATACAGAAATATACAAACGTTGGTCACAGTTACGAATATTCTAAATGAACTTCTTCGTTTGAATGAGATACTTTCGATCTAGTAATTGATATCTCAGTGGCAACATTGCTTTTCTTCCTTGCATACATTTTTCGATGACTGCATACTTCATACAACGTATGGTTGACATAGAGAAAAGTGTTGTAATTGATCAATATGTTTGTACCAGGATATATCAATGTTTTTGGATATCGAGGATAAAGTTGTTTGTACTGATTGAGGGCAGAAGCTTGAAGTGTGAATGTTTCGAAAATATCACTGCTGAAGTGTGGATGAGAAATATGATAAGTGACATAGCAAATAAAACAAAGATCGATCTAGTAGATATTTGATGGGTTTGTAGCTCATACTGATAGTTTCCTTTAACAATAGTAGACCTCTGAAAAGAGCATTCTACTTGGGAGGCCACAAAGTTTATAACTAAAGACAACTATACGCAGAAAGAAGATCTAACCGAGCTCTCTACAACAAATAACTGAAATATTGTCGGAATGTTGAATATGAAGAGTACCAGTTGCAAGCCACCACCGTGGTATGTTCCCTGTTTAAAAATCAGGAACAGAAATACTGAATGAAAGTAACAGTGACTGAACTCTGAAGAGATTGAGTCTGAGATTTTTTTTTGTTTATCAGAAGTCATAATACGTCTGCTCAATCGAAAAGTCTTCGCTGAACTCCGTAACTACTTTCAGTTCGAATTACCAAAAAGAAGCTTTTCTATGTACAGCCATCGCTCTTTGAACTTTATTCGTGCTCCTATCAACAATATATGTTGAGTAGAGACTCTTTATTATTAAGCTAGTAAAATGATTCTATCTACAATACATATCCAGTTTGTCATGAACTTAAGTGAGCAAGGACAAGTCGGAATGGCTATGCATTTCAAATATGAATCTAATTTTGTATACATTACACAAGATGCTGAATGGTAAGTATTCAATCAGCTCGATTATAAATGGTTACTAGACATAGTTAGTGTGATTATGGACACATGTGGATGATCATGCTAGGAGAGAACTTTTCTTCTGACAATCATGAGATTCATTGTGACCTAACTCAATAGCAAGAAAGCAAATCAACGTCTCATAATAATTGGTGATACCAAAGTCAAGTTACGCATCATTTTCAAGGATGTCGGAACATTTGTAGAGCTAATGATGATGTATAAAGTCAGTACATGTTGTTGAAGGTCAAAACGTATCTCAATAGTGGAACTTTCAGATTGGGTGTGGGATGTGGGTGTAGATGTTAGTGTAATACTTTATACCCCCAATACTATCGTCACCCACACCCTCATTTGATGATATTTTGAAAGATTCAATGAGTTATTTTGCAATTATGTGTAAGTTTGGAGCATGAGGCTGTCTGAGTTTACCTATGGCTGCTGCTTTGGTGACGGAGAACAAATGATACCTACCTACATAACTACACACCCATGCTGACATGTGCATCCAAATCAGTGTTTTTGAAAAGCGTCTGTCGCTTATTTTGTCATAATTTCCAACCTTGATTATTCCATTTTCATTTTGAAATATTCGAAAGTTTAGTCTGAGAATTGTTATTACATTTTTTTCTCAGTATTTTGCCGAATGAATATACGAGCACTTGGCTTTTTCTCCATTCTGTAAAGTCGTTAGTGACATACGTTTAACTATTCTTACCCGACATAAGTGTGCAATTGTGGCGCATATTCGGAAGAAAAAAGGATGTGGATGTGCGTATCTTTGTCCTCATCCTCACCCACACCCTAACATATTGTGCCCTACTCTGTAACTTTGAATGAGTCTCAAGATCTTACAAACCACGTCAATGTGGTTTCTTAGTAAAAAACATGAAATAATGATCCATAAATATTTCACTCCGATAAAATAGAACAAAGTTAGTTCAATGGGCTCTTCGAGATGAATGTGTTTGAACTCATATTTATAAAGCATGTTAATTCACCTCGCTCATCCGCACGTTCACATCCTTCATTTGTTTTTCAGAGAGAAGAACTTGCCATAATTATCAAGCATTTTTTCTGAGTACTATGATGTTCTTATCTGATATAGCAA